GTGCACTGGACTCACCCCTCGCATAATGACGGGCAGCTGGTCGGCCAGCACGGTGGTTTTGAAATGCATTTAAGGTACAGTATCCGTGAGCTGGCAAGCACAGTTAGATCTACTACTACTGCGGCACGTGGGCTCTGACGCCAACCAGCCTCGCCGGCCTTGACAGCTTCCATCGCCGGCAGCTTGTCCTGCTCGGGATCTTCCACTCGAACAAGCTTGCCGACGTCGCGCTCTATAAACGTTGCGACAGCGAACCGTTGAGTACGATCGTCGCCCACCAGCGTTGGCGCCTTCTAGGCCACGTACTGCGGCTGGGTCGCGGCGTCCCGGCCAACGTGGCTGCGGACCGCTTCTTTGCCCCATCCGAGGCGCCCCGTTTCTTAGGGCGCACCAAGATCACGCTGCCGATCGTCCTGCACCGCGACCTCCAGTCGCTGACGCCGCCTCAGTCGCTGGCGTCTCCCGAGGACCTTGACAAACGGCGTAGCTTTGCCGCCGACCGCGACGCCTGGAAAGATTTGACCGACCGTGTCGTCCGGCGCCTCGTCTGCGGCCACAAGCACCGTAGGGCGACGACAGAAGAGCCAGACGAGCCCCCGCGCCGCCGCCTGCGCAGCCACGGACCGGCGAGCGAATGAAGAAGAAGGAGATTGCTAGTCTCTACGTATGCGAAGTCTTTGTGTAACTATGAAGATAACGCGAAACACGTTCATACATATACTAGTATGCAGCATGAATACTGTAGAGAGTATATTGCGAGATCATGCACACGCACTTCATTGTGCATCGCGTGACCAAAAATAAATCCTGTCTGAAACACTGGATTCAAACAAGATCCGGTGCGTTGCTGGATTTAACGCGTTAAACAAAATGGCCAATGGCATCGGAGCATTCCGTTTCGAAGATGGGCCGAGCAGCGACGACGGCGGTCGGCGCGGTCGTCCTCGCGGCCATCGCCGGCGTCTGGCATACCGGGCTGCTGGAGCCTTACTACCACGCAATCCTCCATGGCAATGCCCCCGACGCCACGTTCTACGAGGTGTGTCATTGCGGTGGCGAAGGGTCCGACGCCATTCGCTGTCGCTGTAGGTGCTACGCGTCGCACCGACAGCGTCACCCAGCGAGATCGCGGCGGCCTACCGGTCGCTGTCGCGTGAGTACCATCCCGACAAGACCAAGTCTCTCTCGCCCGCGATGCGCGACGCGCACACGCAAGCGTTCTACCGCGTCGCCGGTACGTGTCCATTCTGCGACCCTGCCAATGTTGGCGATGAGCTAGCGGCGTACGAGACCTTGTCCAACGATGACCGACGACGAGACTACGATCGCCAGCTACACCAAGTCGCCAAGCCGCCGTCCATGACGTGGCAGTCGCGCGTCCATCTCTGGTGGTGGCAGCTATGGTATTCCTTGTCGTTTGAATCCATTGGCTACGTTGTGTGTGGCCTCGGCCTCGTCACGATTCTCTGCGAGTACGTGCTGGCTCCCATCCAGCAGCGCGTCTTCCGCTCCCGACACCCACCGTCCAACCCGGATGTGCAGCAGCCTGGCACGAGCCTATACGAAGCGCGCTTGCGGCTCCAAGCCCAGTACGACGCTGACGCACAGCGCCGCTCGCAGCACCGACGGGCGACACGAGTGCGTTAAACGAGTCGTATTATGCTTTTACTCGATCACGTTTTGGTCATTGAAAGGGTCTTGTCCATATCGGCGGCGCCGTGGGCTTTGCGAACAAAGCTCTGCTTGATGTCGGCAGCGACCGCGTTGAGGAATTCGCTTGGAAAGTGCAGCGCGGCGTCCGCGGCCAAGGTCTTGAGGTCTTTGACGTTCTACTTTGACGTTGCCAAATGTACTACATACGGGAATAAGGCGACCTTGAAGAGCGGTACGACTTGGTCAATGAGCGCGCGGATCTTGTCGGGCTCGACGTCGCTGTAGATACCCGTGACGGCCACAAACACCTTGTCGATGGCATTTTGCCGCTCGCTACAGCACATACGTTCCCACTCGGAGAATTGCCGTATTCAGTACCGGGCCATTTCGTCTTGAAGAGCGGCGAGCCGATCGCGAAGCTCGGCGCCGTCGACTTCGGCTGCGGTCGGCGGGAACAAGCTTGTGGCATATCGAATGAGAAATTTGATGTCCTTGAGCGACTTGATCTCTGTGTAGATCGACTATTCACACGCAACCGTATGATGCCATTTGCAAATTTGTAGAGGCATACCAGCACCATGGGCTCGACGGCCACGGGATCGATCCGGTCAAAGTAAATGTTGCGGATCTTGAGCTCAAGCTCGGCCGCCAGTTTCTTCTTCTGGTTGTCTTGCTTGAGCTGTACAAAGTGCGCGCGCATCGCGGTCGCTGTCGCCGAAGGGTGGTCGCTGGCCGTGATCAAGTTGGGTGGAAATAGACGCTCCAGGTTGCGGATCAGACTCTGGACGTCGTCTTCGGTCGGAAACTCTTTGATCGCGCGCTTCATGAGGCGGTGAATGCGCTCCATGCCGTCGTTCGTATCGGCGCTTTCGCGGTACGGCTATTTCCACGCCATTTTCAGTGGTTGCACACGCAGTAGAAGGCGTACCCCGTCTTTGAGTTTTTCAAACAGAATTTGCTTTTGCTGGCGCCGGACGTCCTTTCGATGTAGATAGCGCAGCACGCTCGCGCACACGGCTTGCGCCTGCTTCTCGCTCTTGCCAACGACCTGCGTCGCAGCAAGCAGCTTGGCGGCCAGCGGGACGCGGTCAAGGTCCAGGACGATGAGGTGCTGCATGCGGCCGAGCTCGCACGGCAAGTCGCGCAGCTCAGTGCGATTGAGGTCGAGGACCTGCAGCTTAACGCACTTGTGGATCGAAGGTGGGATCGACTGCAACGGGTTGTCGTTGAGCCAAAGAAATTCGAGCGCAGCGAGCTGCCCGATCGCGTCTGGGAGGACGCGAACGTGGTTGAAGCCAAGATCCAACCGGTACAAGGCCGAAAAGTTGAGGCGGAAGAGGTCACTCGGCACAGCGCGCAGGTTGAGCTGCACGAGGTGCAGCAGCCCCGTCTGCTTGGCCTCTTCGAGCTTACCCAGAAGGTCCGCCATGCACGACCTTTCGATCTGCGATTGACGGTTTCCGACAAATTTGGTGCAAACTAAGATTTGGAAAATAAGATGGGATAAGGTTAATTGGAGGATACGCTCGCGGCGCGCGATGCGTGAAGAGTGATGCGAGTCGTCTAAATGTTGAGAAGGTCTTCGAGAATGCGCATCTCGAACGGGTCGATGGGCGCACTGGCTGGCGTCGATGCTGGCGCTGCATCGGTGAAGAGGATGCTATCCAAAATCGCATGGTCGAGCATGTCCGTGGTTGTTGCTGGCGACTCGCCTGGCTGGTGCTTGAGGCAAAAGCCGCCCGCCCGCGCATGGTACGAGCAGCCGTCGACTTTGCAAAAGCGGCCGCCGCCGTGACGCACGCATTTTTGGTTGGCATGCGCCTGCTTGGAGCAGCCGTCGACGAGGCAGTAGCGCTTCAGGACGTTGCCGCCGTGCTTGCCGCAGAAGCGGCCGCCGCGCGCGTAGAACGAGCAGTTGGCGATCGCGCAGACGCGCTTGCCGCCATGGCGCACGCAGAGATACCGGGCGTAAACCTGGTTGGTGCACTCGGGAATCGAGCAGACGCTGCGGTTCTTGTGCTGTTGGCAGCGCGGCAGGCCCGGGAGCGCCGTCGCTGCGCAGTCGTTAAACAGGCACTGGCTCATGGTAGAATTTGGAAATGGCCAATCTGACCAAAGTCGCAAGACGAATGAATCCACCGCAAAATGCGCGCGACGACATAGCGCAAGATCCAGTGCATTTTGAGATATTTTCAATGGATTGCGCGGCCTGTGATTGGTCAGGTGAAAATCCCACTTGTTTGTGATTGGCTGGTGAGGTAGACCCAAGCCCACAGTGGCGCACTGGAATCAATTTCTACGACGACTAGGAATTCGACTATCAATAGCCCTAAATCTAAATGTGCTAACACCATTGACGCGAATGGATTTACCTGGGACCCGTCACTCACCAAGTCCGAGGCCCATCAATCACCTGTCTCACGAGCTGCGAGCTAGGGTTGTGGACCGTGCTCATCGAACTCATTCCTCCACACCGCAGAGATGTCGAGTCCTTCACTGCCGTCTCAACAAGGGCGAAAATACACTGAAAATACCAGTGGGTTGCTGCTGCGAGTATGTTGCGAGCTTCGATTGTACTTGGCTATATTTTGAGGAACGAGACAACATGTCGATTGGGCACCAAAATGACATTATGTATCAACAGGTACACTAAAGGTATATATTATCCTGGCTATTGAGAGGGCGAGGGGAGGCGGACTGCTTCGGTCCCATCATTTCAGTCCGAACGGGCGCGCAGTGGTACGACAAAGGAGGTTAGATTGCTTGCGAGCGCTCGCTGTTGTAGCTCGAACAGAGCGTCGACTCGGTGTCAAAGATGTGACTGTTGGTCGGCAGCGGCTTCTTCCGCAGCATGTGCCAGGCCGCAAGGCCGCAAAAAACCGGCAGCGAGAGCCCGACGCCGGCAATGATCCACGGCCAATTGACTATCCGAAACATGAGATACTTTTGATCCACGATAATACCAATTGGATAGATAGATACCTGCCGCGGCCGGCGTTTCGCGTGGACGCTGGGCGTCCATGACGCACTGGGCGATTGAGGAACAAGTGAGCACAAACTCGTCGCTCGCAAAGTCGACCATGCCCTGGATGCTGGCCTGGCACTGGTCGAGCGTCCCGAACGGGGTGCAGAGGCGGCTGTCGGTCGAGTAGCACTGGTTGGGGCTCAGCACGCGGAGCGCGATCCACGAGTTCTTGATCGGCGAGCATTGCCAGAGAAACGACGCGGGCACGTCGCCGGTCGAGGTCGCGTTGCGGATGAACATGGCTTTGGCCACGGAGCACCACGTTGTGTTTTGCTCGTAGCCCGTGCTGCCCCAAAAGCTCATGTGGGTCGCGCCGCAGAGCGCAGCGCGGAGCGTGGCGACCGACGTGATCCGCGCCGCGCAGTCGGCCATCGTGTTGTAGAAGACGCAGTTGACCGCGTCCGTCGAGAAGCACCCGACCTCGTGGCTCTGGGGAACGATGGCCACGCGCATGTAGAGCGTCGGTGCCGTCGGCGGCTCGCGCTCCATGCACTTCCAGTTGGCCGTCACGGCCGAGAGCGCGGTCGACTCGGTTGATGCCCGGACGAGGAACGACTCGACGCTGCGGTCCCAGCGGCCCATGACAGACGTGTTGTAGCGCCAGAGAGCCATGTTGCCTTGGCTATCCGGGCCATCAAAGGTCACAAACTCGTAGCCGGCGACGACGGCCACGGACGAGATGGACTGGTTCCAGTCCGGCAGCACCTCGCTGCTCTTGGCGCCGAGCGGCAGGTCGCGGCGCTCGCCGACGAAGCCCGGCCGCGCGAAGATGGTCACCTGGGCGTACGCAGGCAGCGCCAGCATGAGCATGAGCACGAGCGCGCGCCATGGCAGCGGGAAGGACGGGTCACCCCGGCGTCGACGCATGTTCGCACTTGCCTCTCGCCTGTCGAGTGTTTCTATCACTTGGAGATTGTATCTGGGACACTCAAACGGTATTATATACGCAAATGTCGGCGGCGAAAAGGCATATTTTGCGCCTCGTGTCCCAACACCAGCCCCGATTCGCGTACCCAGTAACGAATTAGCAACCAGCGGCACGAATTGACGGCATTTCATAGCGCAGCAGGACGATGCAAGCGAATTGAAGACAGGTCGGAATGCCGATCGTCAACGAGGCTGGGCACAGCGCCAGGGCAAGGCGTGAGTTCGCCGGACGCGCCGCCTTGGTCGTTGGGACGCAATTTTTCGCCACTTCCGCGCGCCAACCTCGGCGCCTGTATCAACACCGACTCTACGCGTTCGATACTAGAACGCTGGCTTCGATGGCCCAAGCCAACCGCGAGCTCGCACCGACACCGCAGCAGGGCGTGGCAAGAGCAGTGATCGAGGCCGCGACGCCTGATCTGTTGGTTCCGATGCAGCGTCGTTGTCGTGTGTCGTTCGGCCGTTTGAGCCAAGTGCAATCACATGTTCTGTATTTTGTTAAGAAGCGCTTTTAATTGTTCTTGTCATGTGGCCATGACGCCTCTTGCATTGGCCATTGCGCGGAAAAAATATGCTGCCTTGAAGTTAAACGAGCACGAGATGCAGGCCGAGCGCGTGCATCTCGCGACGCGCGGTGTGCTACATTGTACGACGCGATACGACATGAGCAAACTTGCTTTCAATGTACTTATTTAATGCTTCTTAACTAACCCCGACCAGATCGTCAACCAGAGGCCTATCATCCGACTCGACGGGTGTCCCTTCTTCCTCATCGTCGCTGAGATGCACGCAATACGTGTCTTCGGTCGTGGAGGCGTGTTGTGGTCGGTTGGCCTTTATTAACGTCAAGACGACCCACACCGTGTAAGAGAGTACGACGAGAACGAGCAACAGGACGAGCAGTCTTCCTTCTTCTAGTAGACAAAGCTCCATTTCGCCTTAGAATATCATGGCAACTTGCATCTTTGCGTTGCTGCGGCGCACTCGTCATCGACGCGTCGGGGTCCTCGACGCCTTTGTCAGGTAGTACACTCGACCATGGTTCGAGCGAGCCCACAAGCCGGGCAGTGGCCGCCTCGCACACGATCGAGGTGGGAAACTCCGAACACCCCGAGACGCCAGCGCCAGGAACACAGTAGCGCCGACCATTGGTCGTACGTACCGCAGTGTACACGCGGTTCTGATTAGCGCATTGCCAGGCGGTGGTGCCACTGGAGCTCGAGTTGCTGCAGTAGGCGGCTTGAGCGACGCCGCACCAGCTCTGGTTGAAGACGACGGGGCTGCAGTCGCCGGCTCGTAGCAAGCAAGACGGGTACGTAGCGTCCACCGTTCTGAGCGGGAGCTCGAGAGACAACGAGAATGTGTATGCGCAAGTAGCACCGTCGGTCGAGAGGCACTCCACGTGGTCTGGGAAGCGACGCGCCAAGAGGAAGCCCGACGGTGTGGCCACCGCCTGCCACAACGAAGCTGGTGCAGTGTCGACAAGAGTTGAATTCGTCATGATGTGAATGTCCCGGGAGAAGGAAGGTTGCGGAATGAAGATGGAGGCTGCTCGGTCGAGGACAACATCTCTGCTTGGTTTAGAGGGAAGGATGGTGAATACATGGACGCTCGGTGCGTCATATTCGAAGTATTCGAGGGCTTGCGGCGGCTTGGTGATTCAAGTTGTTTGGACGAGCTAACCCCACGACGCCTGCGTCACAACTCTCTTGATGCGACGTCAACGCTCCCACGACCGCGCTTGTAGAGCAGTAATGTGGAAGCTACTTGCCCAGAGCAAAGAGGACTGTGCGAGCTGGGCTATATTCGCGATGCACCTTCTCGTTGACGACTGTTTGCTATAACACGACGTTGGCGAGTATGTTCGTAGTCGAATCGTACGAACTATTGTCAATGAAATAACATTGTTCATACATAAATCCTCGTGTTCTATCGCACTCGCTTACGGGGTCGGGAATTCGCGAAAGGCGCTTGGTGACGTGCACGAGTCACAGCGGCTCGAGAGGACTGTGGCGTCCAAGCTCGCTCGCATCGTTCCATCCACGCTCGTTCGGACTGCTGGCCGTAACGCAGAAATGTAGTAGCGCTGGGCAAACACCATCGACGACAAGACGCCAACGACGCTCGCGACGGTCCACACGACGCCTAGAGCTCCATGGTCAGCTTCCAGTCTATGAGGAGACAGATAAACCCGACGTACTGGATGTGACGACAACCGTCTGCACGCCCAAGCACGACGCTTCACAGAGCGTTTGGCAGTACGTGCAGCCTGGGTCTGATGGCAGCAGTAGCGCGGTCGTGGCTTCGCACGAGGCGATAGATGGAAACTGCTGGCACGGTCCTACCGCGTCGAACGAAGGGAGGCAGTAGGTACTGCTGTTGTCGATCTTGCGCAGAGCGAGGATCGTGCTGACGCTGGTGTTGCATGCCATTTTGCTGCTCTCGGCGGTATTGTGCAACGAGGCATTGGCCGTGGCGCACCAGCCGCCGCTGCCCCAGAGACCCACGCTGTCGAGAGGGCAGCCCACGGACGTCGTCGTGTTGGGACTGGCGAGCAAGGAGGGCCAGAGCCAAATGCTGGTTTCGGTTGCGCAGTTGACGCCGTCGACCGAGTAGCACTCGGGTGTCGTAGTAGTCGCGAGGCGGACCGCGGCGAACCCGTCCGAGCGCGGGAGGAGGCGCCAGGGACCTTCTGCCGCCGCCGCAGCGGATAAGAAGCAGAAAAAAAAAAGCGTGTTCCGTGTCATGGACAACAAAAGAATGTCCTTCAACGAGTTGGCGACCGTCGCCGCCGTGTCTTTATCACTTTGCAAAGTTTTTGATGCCCATCCATTTTTGTGCTCGCGAGCTTGTAGTTCGCGTCCAGATTGCTCCCGATTCTTCCTGGACAGACGTTGAGGGGCGGGCGGAAAGAGGCTGGAGGGGATAATAGGAGGTGAGTAAAAGGGGCAAGTTGTTTGATGTGTTTGTGGCGCTTGGACGCCTTAGTCTCGGGGTTGATCGGGGACAGGGATGTTGTCGAGGTTCCCGCAGCGTTTCGCGAGCCTGTAGCTCGCGAGCTAAAAAACGGAACCGAAAAGAAAGAACATGCCGGCGCAGGTGGCCAACCCACCACGTGTCGCAGTGGTGACGCCATGCGAGCCAATCGCAAAGTCCCTTGGCGGGTGCAGCGTGTGACGTGGTCGCGCAGCCTCGATATCAGGTCTCTTAGTAGGACGACAGACCTGGTCCTGTGGCCTTGTTCTGCGGGAACAGCTTCTTTAATCGGTCGCTTGCGCTTGAAGTCGCCGTGCTGAGAACGTGTATCGCAGTGGCAGGTTCTAGCAGCTTAAGTAGTAGTGAGAATTCACGTTCCCAGCTCTTCGTACCACCTCTTCGTGGCACCGCAGCTGCTTTGCCCTGCAAATCACACGTATTTCACATGCAAATCACACGTATTTCACGTTTCTCACATTTAGCACACGCACGTTGATTTGCATGTGTAAAACACACGCCTGCTGACACTGGACAATACAAAGAAGGTCGCCAGGTACGCCGATCGATCAACAGCTATGTGTACGGCGCCTGTGGCTCGTCGAATTCGTTGCAGCTCGAGCAGTAGGTCGCATCGACGTCGCGACTGGCTTTGGCGCGAAGGCGGATGACGACGAGGACGGCAAGCACGACCAGGAGCGTCGACGCCACCAAGAAGCCAAAGACAAAAGACTCTAATCAGGATCATCATGAATACCCTAGATCGAGAAAGGAATGAAGGTATACCAATAAAGTTGGACGGCCCGGTGTGGTCGGACAAATGCCCATACTGGTAAAACGCGTCGAGGTCGTACGTACCGTTCTCGTTGCTCCACAGCAGCGCGCGTGCGCACGTATCGGCCACCTCGGCGGACGGGAACGAGTCGCACGCGCTGGTCCGCGCCTGGACGCACAGCGATTCGTCGAGCACCTTGATGACGATGCCGCTGGGATCTCGTGCCGGGATGTAATGCCAGCCGTGGCGCCCGCTCGAGCTGAGGCCAAAACGAGCCTTAGCGCACCACTCGTGCAGCCCATACCCCGTGTTGTTCCAGTGCTGAACCCGAAGTGGGCCGCATGGCGCCGGGCGGAGGCGCTCGATGTCGTCGTTGTGGTCGAGCAAGTCGTAGAGGTGCGCGCTCGTCGTCGAGTTGCGCACCATGATAAAGCCGTCGCGGGTCGCCGCAAACTTCCAGTCGAGTGCACTCGGCGGCGCTTCGATGCTAGCACTGGCATTCGTCACGCGAAGCGACCGGATGCGATGCGTCCACGCTGCTGTAAAGCTTGTCGAGTACCGCCACTCGGCGCGCTGGCCCCGAAAGCCGACCTGGTCGAATGTTGTGACAATGTAAGAGCCGTCAATAGCGAGCGACTGCACCGCGCTGTGGCCGGATAAGAGGCTCGAGACGTTGGCGACGTCGCTGGCGAGCAAGAGGGACCGACCGCGGAACGCCGGAAGCTCAAAGAGCGTGATCTGCGCGTGCGCGGCGGCGCCTAGCAGAATAAGCAGACGACGCATCCGCAAATCGCGGAAAATCGCCAAGTGCCACGACCGTGAGTCGAGACCGTGTTTGGAATCTAAACTGGTGCACTCGCGCCGGTCACATCAACTGGTCACGCCAGGACGCGCAGGAAGACGAATCTTGCGTGAATAGGTCGCCGCGGAGCAGCTAGCTACTCGACTTGCTGCTGCGTGCAGCGCCAATCTGCCGGGATACTGTTGTCGTCTCCGCTTCGCACCAGCGTGGAGAAGATATATTCAGATATCCAGTGTATCCATAGTATAAAGACGATATAGCTATACCCATCGTGCCATACAGGACCGCTGCGGTTCGTTGTTGGATTGAGGATACCAAGGTACAAGAAGCCAGCGAGCCAAGGCGTCATGGGCAAAATGATATTCCGACTCACGAGATTGCACACGATTTTTGACCAATCAAAATCCAAAAAGATCGTTGGAGCCAATCCGAGAACGACTCGTATGATCCTGATTCTCCCAAACGCAGGTCGACAAAAGGAAGACAAATAGGACAGCATTGATTCATCGGATGCGAATGACCGCTAGTATATAGCCATATCCGATGACTTATGTCGTTGCAATTTCCACGCTGGCATTTTTCCAAAAAATATTTCTTTTTGGAAAGCCAAACGGGCCGTCTTTCGAAGCAGGTCGGAACATTCGCGATGCTTGAAATTTATTCGCTGAGGACGGGTTGCGCGTAATATTTTCAGACGACTCTCGATCGTACGTACAGCTTTCTCGTTGTGCGCGTCGTATGTACAGCCATAGCATTGAACGCATGCAACAGGAACTCCTCGCTTGCCACCTCGAGATGCAGCCATCGAGTAGGAGGCCGCCCCTCGAAATTTCAGCAGCTTTCAGGACGAACCCAATGTGAGAGGTCTGTCGCTCGCGACCAAAAAAGTGAGTTCGCTGACGACTGCGTCGACAACTGCTGTTGACGACTGTGCTACCACTCTTCGGCGCTATTCTCCAGCGCAGTTCTGCAGCTTGCCAGCTCACACCATGGACCAGAGTCTAGCATTCGAGTGATGTCTAGAGCTTCACACTGGTCCTTGGAAGCTGCTGTTCCTTGGCGCGCCGACTCTTGACCAGACCAGGTCAACGTGTAGTCAGATCGTGTGCACCCAGGTGCCATCTGTCAAGTTGAAGTTTGCGCATGGTCCATCAAGGTTTGGTCCGGATCTTTGCTCCTTTTATGACCTCATACAAAACGACAGTACAAGCCGTGGGCCATGCACACTGGAGGCAAGACGCAGCCGGAGTCGCCCAGATGGCGGCCAAAGAAGAACAGCAAAAGGAGCAGCTGGCGATGCATTTCCGTCGCGGAAATCTCGCCGCTGCTGGCCCCAGACCCACGACCGCCGCCGTCGCGCGCTCATAGCGTCTCTGTGGCGCCGTCTCTCGGTCTCTCAGCATCGCAAGTGGCACAAGGGCCGTCCTTACGTAGTACGAGCGCGCCTGTCCGAGGTTGCCGTATGCAAAGCCACTGTAGGACAGAGCCTATGTTGGACAGCGTGGTCAACACTCGTCGAAAACGGCCAATCACGGCGCTTCGAAAAAGCATCCAATCGCGATCTCAGATCTGATCGGCTTCAACATCGCCAGTTTACCTTTCATGCGTCGTATCACAACCGCCCTTCTTTTTCTTCAGAGCGCGTCGGTCGCCGCCGACGTCGCGCTCTTCCCGATCCCGTTCTACCGCGGCGACGCCGTCGTGGCCTCGGCCAACGTCGGGAACACGGGCGATGCGTGGGTGCCGGTGCAGTCGCTCACGCTGTCGTCCACCGACGTCGAGTTTGTCGCGTATGCCTTGCCCAACTACGAGGGCTCGTCGACGGTCTGGCGCCGCAACACGAGCTTTATCAACAGCAGCGCGACACCGATCGCTTCGTATAAAGTACGTCCGCGCACAGCAGCTACATCTCTCAACACGACATCGAACAGCAGCAACTTGACGCTGTGGAGCTACGTGCCGGTCAGCGACGGCCGATCCACGTACTACTACATGGTGCGCAACTCGAGTACGAGCGCCGGCAACCCCGAGTGTCACTCGACCGGCGGCGTCATCTGCGACAAGCAAGCGTCCTTGGCCTCGGCCGTGTACCTCGTCAATAGCGTTCTCGACACGGTGCAGTGCGGCCCGGCTTCCGGCATTGTGGGCGGGACGCCGTGGAGCGAAGACCCGACCTCGGTCTGCGCCGCCGCCCGCGTCGCCTTGCGAGAGAGCTACGAGGACCGCCCTCTCTACAAGTGCATGGAGGGCACCGCTGGCGTCGTCGGCCTCGTCCTCAGCAACAGCTCGAGCGCAATGGAGTGCGTGCGCGACGTGCCGGCCTCGACGCGCCGCTGCACAACCTTTGCCCGCCAAAAAGAGTGCAACACCGCTCTCACCCACCTCATCGGGAACGTGACGGGCCTCGCGACGACCATCTGCGGGGACCCGACCTCCTGCCTCTCGGCGCGGCCGACAACGGCGCCGTTTACGGCCATGCCCGCGCGCCAAGGCGACGGTACATTACGCTTGGTTTTGCGCCGGTTGACTCATCCTGATGCGTAGCGCTCTCGTGGCAGGCGGGCGCAGTGTTTGGGGCCACCGGTGTGCTCGCGATCCTCGGTCTCTCGTACGTCTTTGGCCCGCGCCGCGCGACACCGAACGTCAACATTGAGGCCACGTGCACGTCGAGCTGCGCCGACGATGAAGTCAACGAGACACGCTACGTCGCGACCGTCTAAGGCAGCATCGGCTCTCTGTTTTTGCGTAACTTATCCTCTTCTCTGTTATAATCGAGTGTATATTGTGCTACCCATGTTCGATACATTGTCTGCGACGGTAATGGATCCGTCAAAACACACCCAAGATTGCACCCAAGCAGATCTTAGTGCTGCGACACCAAAGGGCAATGAGCTTCAAGTCGCCTCACAGCGTGCCACGTCACGTGGCCCGTTTCGGAAAAACGGCCATTTGGGTGTTTTCGCCATGGCCGAGGAAGGCCTCAATGACCAGCGTACGTACATGGACCTTGGGACGTTGGTGGCGGCTGACGCAGGCGTAGTCGTGGCGCTCGTGACCGACCTCGTCCGGCGGGAAGTCGACGCGCTCTTCACATCCCGCGACGCGGCGATCGCGACGCTCACGGCGCAGGTGCAGACGCTCATCTCAGACGTCGAGCGCATCACGGCCGAGCTCGAGGCGCGCGCATCGTGGAACCGGCCCGTCGTCAAGTACGAGCTCTCGCCAGTAAAGGCGCTCGAGTCGCCGACGCGCAAGAAGCCTACGTCGTTCCAGCGCCTCCCGTCGCTGCTCGACCTCGCCGACGACGCGGGCCGCAGCGAAGACGGCAAGCTCCTCTTTGGTACTACACCATACCTTGTTCTATTGACAAACGACAAACGGTGTGCTAGCCAAGAACCTGCCGCGCGTCGCCAGCATCGACAAGCAGACGCAGCGGGACACCGCACAGCTCAAACAAAAAGCCTACGAGTCGGCCATGACCCGATACCCCGAGTGTCGCAGCACCGTCTTTGCGCCGAGCTCGTTCAACCCGGCGCGGTCGACGCTCTTGGACCCACCTGCCATGACGCTGCAGCTGCACCGGGCGACCGGGTACCATCCGAGTGCAACGTCCAACGTGCTCTACTTGGCGTCCGGCGAGGTGGTGTGGTGCACGGCGATGCTGGTCGTCCTGTACGCCAAGCGCCGCCAAACGCAGCGCTTTTACAGCGGCCACACGCGCGAAATCACGGCGCTCGGCCTCCACCCCAACCAAACCACGATCGCATCCGGCCAGTGCGGCAAGGACGCCGCTTCGATCCTCGTCTGGGACGCCGTGCGGGCCAAGGACGACCCGACGCACATTCTCGCTACCCTCCGCGGCCAAACCGTCCATATCAAGAGCATTAGCTTCTCCCACGACGGCAAGCTCGTCGCGTCCTTGGGCGGCGACCTCTACAACTCGATTTGCATCCACGAGTGGCAAGACGAGACGCTCTTAATCAAGATTCGGTGCGTGGGCGCATTGTCTAGTACATCGCTGACAAACTAGTTATGACTAGAGGCCACAGCGCCAAGGTGCACATGCTCGCGTTCAACCCGTACCAAGCGTATGGCATCCCGGACAAGACCAAGACGCTTGTCGCGCCGGCCAAGAACGGCAAGAGAGCCAAGTACGCTGTCGACCTGCACGCACAGCCAGGCCAAGCGCTGCGGGACGAGGACGCCTGCTATACACTCGTACCTCACGTTCTATCGCCCGAGCTTGCATTTGGGTGGTGTAGGTGTCGTGCGGCGTCCAGCACATCAAGTTTTGGACGCTGACGCAGACCGAGTACGCCCCGCCCGTCACGGCTGAAAAAGTAGCTTGGGTTGTGATTTGAAAGAGGTACAATATTGTCGATGACTAGGAAGACAGTGCGTTTTACGGCTCGTCGTTTGGCGGACCGAATCGCATGCGTCAGTTGACACCCCATGAAAAAGTGTGGAAGCTCGAGGGCAACCCGCCGTTGATGAAGAGCGACCCGCAAGACTTTACCTACGTGTGCTTTTGCAACGACATGCCGCCGCTGCACGTCTACGACGAAGGCTCGGACCAGCTCCTTCCGTCGCCAACCGTAAGCGACATCTGATACCTTCGGCTCTAAGATGGGACTAGGCCAAGGAGACGTCACTGGGGCGCGTCGTCGCTGGCACGGCCAAAGGCGACTTGTATGTCTTTTGGCAGCCGCGCAAGATGCCACTGTACGCCGCGCACGTCGCCGACCAAGCGATTGTTCCGCGCAAGTGGTGGGAGCTGCCGGTGACCGAGTGGCAGCTTCCGGACGACACGTCGGCGCTCATGCAGCATCTGCACTTTGAGCCCACCGCCAAGCTCGTCGAGATCGTGCCCCACGATGTCGCCACCGGCAACAAGTTCAAGGTCTCACGCCACGCACAAGCCGAGCTCGCCGACCTCACCCAGCGGCTTGCGCTCAAGCCCGACGCCAAGTCGGTGCTGGATCGCATGCGAGCCATCGAGTACAAGGGCCCACTCGCCCACACGGCGCTCTGCTCGCACGTAGCGAGCGACGGGAAGCGCAACCGCATTGCGTCGGTCGGCTTTGACGGCCTCGTGCATGTCTGGTGCTTGCATCTTGTCGAGCCGATGCGGGTCCCAGGCACGCATACGCTCGGCGAATATGCGCCGATCGGCGGCGCGGCCAACAGCTCCGACGGCCGGCACCGCCTCCAGCTCGAAGTGTCGCTCGAGCTGCCGGTGAAGGCCAAGCCCGCGAGCTTATCACTCCAAGGCGACGCGCTCCTTCTGGGCCTGGCCAACCATAGCATTTACGAGTGCATCTTGACCGACAACGACGACGAGGCTGAGACCGACTGGGTTTTGCTCCAAGAAGGCGTCGATGGCGCGGTTGTTGGCGGCGCGATTGTCGACGACACGCTCGTCACGGTTTCGACCGACCAATCGCTGCGCTGGTGGTCACTGCCGACGCACGAGTGTCTTGGTCGCATCGGGCTCCGGAGCATGGGCACGTGCGTCGACGCGCAGTCGTCGACAGCCGACGTCGCTATCGGGTGTGCGTCCGGCGAGGTCAGTTCCTTTGCCTTTCTTCCATCTCACTCTCTGAATCTGAACGTGAATCTGAATCGATAGCTGCTGATTCTGAACGCCACCGGCGACATGACCGAGAAGCGGCTCATCAAGGTCGTTGCTACGGATGCGATCACGGTCGTCAAGATCAGTCCGGATGCCAAGTACATTGCGGTCGGCGGCAAGGACAACTGCGTCTACCTCGTGGACACAACAAACTACAAGCGCGTCGCCAAGTGCGAAGGTCCTCTCATCGTCGTCTTATCATGGCGCTAAGATCTTGGCGCAGGCCATGCCACGTACGTCGCCCACATGGACTGGAGCGTCGACGGATACTTGCTCCAAACCAACGCGGCCGACGGCGAGATCTTGTACTGGCAAGTGACACCCGGGCCAAATCTCCGGCAAATCACCGATGCCATCCTCGTACACTGGACTCTCATCGCATGAAGATGACTGACGCAAGGTAGATGCGCGATATCCTCTGGCACCGGTGGAGCTGCGTGTACGGGTGGTCCGTCCAAGGTATCTGGGGCGACGACGGCAGTGCGTGCACCGACATTCTCTCGCTCTCTCCGCTTGACGTGCCGCCGCACGACCCGAGCGCCGTCGCCGCCGACGTCCACCATGTGCTGGTCGGCCACCGGGCTAGCCTCCGGAGCTTTCGTTGGCCCTGCCTGCGCTCGGCGCCCTACCATGTCTACGACGGCCACGCAGGCAACATCACAGCGGTCCTATGCTGGTCCTATGCCGGCAGCGCACGGGTGCTCACGCTTGGTGGCGCCGACAGCACGATCCTCGAGGTACTTTAGTGCGAGGTGATACCATCATAACCGGCTAAGTAGTGGCGCGCGTTGCCGTCGACAGCAACGCTGGCCGAGGCAAGTGTCGACGACGAGACGCCGCTCGAAGCAACGGAAGCGGTGCCGACACCCGAGGCGACGCCGGCGTGCGACGACGACGACGCGAGCGACGTGGGTGACGCCGCCGTGACGCCGGTGCGCCCGGCGCGGACTCCGGACCGCCGGACGCCGCGAACGCCGCGGGTCAAAGACGACGGCGTGCGCGAGACAAGCCCGGTGGCTGCGACGATCGCGTGTCGGCGCGCCAAGTTTGATTTCACAGGCGAGAACGACGACGAGCTGAGCTTCCGCGCCGGCGAAGTGGTGCGGATCCTGGACAAGCGGCCCGGCGACTGGTGGTTTGGCGAGACGTGCAACGGCCAAAAGGGCATCTTCCCGAGCGACTATGTCGAGGCCAACGACGGGCTTCTCGAGGTGCTGGCATCGTAGATCTTAGTGAGGACAATAATATGACGTGGCAAAATGTGAGACGGGTTTATATTAGAAAAACGGGTTAAAGGATCGTGCAGCACGCGCCCGAGAAGAGCGACGTGCAGTTGGGCGACGCCGACTGCTGGGCCAGAAAAGCCTTTTGATGCTGGCGCTCCAAAGCTTCCTTGGTGACCGTGACGCCTGCGGGGCCCTGGAGACTCTTGTTGCTGCCGCCCGAGCTTGCACTGCGCGCCGCATGCTGGAAGCTGTACTGCGATGGCTTGGCCGCCTCCTTGGGCGCAAATGCGAGTCGCTCCTTTGTGTACTGGTTCTCGTACGAGTACTCGCCCGGTCGTGTGCGCGAGAGCACGCGCCGCCACCCCGGCGGTAACCGCGGCGTCGAGTTGGTGTTGGTCGGCATGAGCAGCCGACCGACGGGAACGATGATGCGCTTGAAGGCCTCGACGACGTTGGTCGAGTCGAGCGCCGACGCCTCGACAAACTCCATGTGGTGCGTCTCGGCGAACCGAGCAGCCTCGAGCGTCGACACTTGCCTGCAAGAAGTGCCATCAGACACAGAGGTCGGCAAAACAAGCATGTACGTACCGCGTGTTGGGGCGGTGGGCGAGGTCGCACTTGTTGCCGACAAGGATCAAGACGACGTTCTCATGGGCGTGCTCGTGGATCTGCGCGAGCCAGTGCGTAACATGCTCGAACGACGCACGGTTCGTAATGTCGTAGACGATGAGCGCGCCGACTGCGTTGCGGTAGTAGGCGGCCGTCAGCGACTGGAAGCGCTCCTGGCCGGCCGTGTCCCAGATCTGCGCCTTGATGCGGCGGTCGCCGACGCGGATGGTCTTGGCCGCAAACTCAAAGCCTATACGTTCTTAGAGGCGACGCCATATTGGGCGCAACGTACCGATGGTCTGCGTGCTCGCTTCGTTGTACTTGTTCTTGGTGAAGCGCTGGACGAGGTTGCTCTTGCCGACGCCCGAGTCGCCGATGAGGACGACCTTGAGCACATACTCCTGCTCGCCGGCCGCGGAAGAGACGTCGCTCATGGAGCTGCTGGTGTGGGCCATGGCCGCCGGCGGCGGGGGCGGCGACGTCGCTCTTCCTCCTTCGGCCATCGCCCGACCAAATTCGATGATGCGGCCCGATCGCGACCACCCCATTTTCTCGCGTTGACTTGGATTCAGTATACTCGCTTGTGCAGCCGCCTGCAACGCGGTTGGGTGGCTCTTTTTTATTCATGTTTCCTTTAAAAAGGTATCCTTTGCATACAAATACCAAGATAGTTGAATTAATGGAGGAAAACGACATGAAAAAAAGGAATAGAAGAGACATGCCAGTCGTGTTTCAGAACACCATTTACCATTGGATTCATGAAAGCAAAGCAAAGGATATAGTGTTGCAATGTTGCACGACGGTCGCAAGCGATGCGGCACGAGCGACGCAGTTTAGGGCTTGTTAGTAAGGACTATTACATAGCATGTAGTCGACTGATATAGGAGAATACGATGTACAGTGCCAAAATGGTCGGGTTGGCGGTATCCGGGCTTTGGGAGGGAGCAGAAAGGCGCAGAGAAACACTGTCGCAGTTAGTACATGGTCTGCAGTCGACTAGTACAGTCTACTAGACCTGCGAGGTGGCTGCTGAAAGCGATTGGGAAGAGTATTCAGTAGCTCGTCGCGATCGCTCACCAGCGTGTGACGAATTTCAACTTCTATCAGGATTTGCTTTCGGCCAATCAAAAGCGTTGTGGACACCATTCGGGCATTGATTGGTCGATTCACGCTGATTGCCCACTATCCTTGCAGTTGCCCTCGACCACCGCGCGTACCTAGTCCTCGTTTTCTAAATCCATGTAGAGATTCATGAAGTTGTTGATGTTATGGCAGCAAGGACATTCAGTAGTAGGCGGCACT